ATGAACCCGGGAGGCGAAGCTTGCAGTGAGCTGAGATCCGGCCACTGCACTCCAGCCTGGGTGACAGAGCAAGACTCCGTCTCAAAAAAAAAAAAAAAAGAATACATGCTCCTTCCCCCCAAATTTAATTAAAAAGCAATACATTATCATTAAAACACAATATCATTATCAATACATAATACATTAAATTAAAGATTAGAGACTGAAAAAACACTTTTAAGCTAAACCATTTATTTAAAAACTCTATGATTTCACCAACTACAATAAATAATCTTAACTCCCTTGAGTAACCTATGCTTTTTCCACTTAAAAATCTCTCTCTGAATGAATTCATGCCTAAATCTTTACTGGTTGCATAGTATTCTATTCTACGGACACGGTATTAATGTAAGTACTGCCCTATTATGAACAGCCAGTAGATTTTTAAAATAATTTCAACTTTTATTTTAGATGTGGGGGTATGCGTGCAGGTTTGTTACATAGGCATACTGCATGACACTGAGGTTTGGAGTACCAATGATCCCATCATCCAGGGAGAGAGCATAATACCTCTTAATAGGCTTTTAATACCTTTTCTTATTTAAAAACAAAACTAGTAGTTTCAGCACTTTGGGAGGCTGAGGCAGACAGATCACCTGAGGTCGGGAGTTTAAGACCAGCCTGGCCAACATGGTGAAATCCTGTCTCTACTGAAAATACAAAAATTAGCCAGGTGTGATGGCACATGTCCGTAATCCCACCTACTTGGCAGGCTGAGGCACAAGAATGGCTTGAACCTGGGAGGCAGAGGTTGCAGTGAGCCAAGATTGTGCCAGTGCACGCTAGACTGGGCGACAGAGCGAGACTGTCTAAAAAAAACAAACAAAAACAAACAAAAAAACTATACTTTAAATCTCTGCCTATATCCATCAGTATGTCCTTAGGATAAACTTCTAAAAGTAGAATTTCTGAAGACCATGGTCCCACTTGGTTAGACATGCCTCCCTATAAGGGGTTTTAAAAGGCCCCTGGTATACTCATGGTCATATCCACCCTTATTCACAATAGCCGAGGAGAAGCAACCCTAGTGTCCATGGATGAATAGATGGATTAAAAAAATGTATATACATACAATGAAATATTATTCAACCTTAAGAAGGAGGGAAATTCTGACACATGCTACAACATGAATGAACCTTGAGGACGTTATGCTAAGTCAAACAAACCAGTCACAAAAAGACACATACTGTAAGATTCCACTTATATAAGGCATGTGAGTGGGTAAAATCATGGAGACAGAAAGTAGAATAGTGGCTGCCAGGAGTTAGGCTAGGAGGAAGAGGGAATGGGGAGTTGCTAAAAATGAGTTTTAGTTTTGCAAGATGAAAAAGAGTTTGGGGGCTGGATGGTGGTGATGATTGCATAAGGACGTTAATACTTTAAAGCCACCAAAGTATATGCTAAAAATGGTTAAGATGGTAAATTTTATATGTATTTACCACAATTTAATGATGACAATAATAATAATAAAAAGGTCACTGGCTAGAGTTGTTTCATCCTCCAGCTAAACCATTCTTAATGAGTTAAATTCTCCATTATATGGTTAGGCTGTGTCCCCACCCAAATCTCATTTTGAATTGTAGCTCCCATAATTCCCATGTGTCATGGAAGGAGCCCGGTGGGAGGTAACTGAATCATGAGGCACGTCTTTCCTGTGTTGTTCTCGTGGTAGTGAATAAGTCTCACGATATCTGATTTTTTTTTCTTTTTTTTTTTT